TGAAGTGAGCAACAAAAGAAGGAAATAAAGAATCGAAGGCACATGGTGTCGGTACATTATTATTATTGACTGGCTTTAGCTCATATTTCCTTGCTCACTACAACTACCAATATCTCTTTCCTCTTCCACACTCTCTCCTTGCTCAGATCTGATCCTCAAACTCTGATTCCTTCACCATGTACGGCCGAGATCCATGGGGTGGTCCACTCGAGATCAACGCCGCCGATTCCGCCACCGACGACGATCGTAGTCGGAATTTGAACGATCTCGACCGTGCGGCTCTCTCACGTCCCCTCGACGAGACGCAGCAGAGCTGGCTTCTTGGTCCGACCGAGCAGAAGAAGAAAAAGTATGTCGATCTCGGCTGTATAATCGTCAGCCGCAAGATCTTCGTCTGGACCGTCGGTACTATCGTCGCCGCCGCTCTGCTCGCTGGATTTATCACCTTGATCGTCAAGACTGTGCCGCGCAACCACCACAAGCATCCGCCGCCTGACAATTACACACTCGCCCTCCACAAAGCTCTCAAGTTCTTCAATGCCCAGCGATGTAAGTCCGGAATTCTTCTATTCTGTTTAACTAGAATAACCAGTCTTCTAGATCTGGAAATTGGGATTTATAGAAAGTCTGTCTGATGGTTTCAAATACAGCTGGGAAGTTGCCGAGGCACAATAACGTGTCATGGAGGGGTAACTCTGGGCTTCAAGATGGGAAAGGCAGTCCAGGGAGCTTCTACAAAGATTTGGTGGGAGGTTATTATGATGCTGGAGATGCTATCAAGTTCAACTTCCCCATGGCTTATGCTATGACCATGTTGAGCTGGAGTGTTATCGAATACAGCGCCAAATTCGAAGCCGCAGGAGAGCTCGCCCATGTCAAGGAACTCATCAAATGGGGAACTGACTACTTCCTCAAGACCTTCAATAGCACCGCTGATTCGATTGATGATCTCGTCTCTCAGGTATTATTAATATGTTCAGGGAGATCTCTTTTTTTTGTTTTGTTTAGTTGCTCATCACATGTTTAACACAGGTCGGATCAGGAAACACCGACGAAGGGAGTACTGATCCTAATGACCATTACTGCTGGATGCGGCCTGAGGACATTGACTATAAAAGGCCTGTAACTACCTGTAATGGCGGCTGCTCGGATCTCGCTGCTGAGATGGCAGCTGCGCTGGCTTCAGCATCCATCGTCTTCAAGGACAACAAGGAATATTCTAAAAAGCTTGTCCATGGTGCTAAGACCGTGTACCAGTTTGGAAGGACACGGAGAGGGAGATACAGTGCAGGCACTGCGGAATCTAGCAAGTTCTACAATTCAAGCATGTACTGGGATGAGTTTATTTGGGGTGGTGCTTGGTTGTACTACGCTACAGGAAACGTAACCTATCTCGAACTAATCACCAAACCTACCATGGCCAAGCATGCTGGTGCCTTCTGGGGTGGCCCTTTCTATGGTGTATTTAGCTGGGACAACAAGCTTGCAGGCGCCCAGGTCAGTCTACAAACACAACTTACTGTCTTTGTCTATTTCTAGGTGGTCATGTTATCTTGACCATCTGTTTTAACCAAACTGCTTCTGAATCCCTGTGCTTGTTTTAGTTGCTGTTGAGCCGGTTGAGGTTATTTCTTAGTCCTGGCTATCCATATGAAGAAATTCTAAGAACCTTCCACAATCAGACAAGCATAGTCATGTGCTCATACTTACCTTATTTCAACAAATTCAACAGAACCAAGGGTGAGTTATCTGCCATTTTTAATGTCTGCCTCTAACGAAACTCCAACTCTTGTTTTGGAAATCTAAAAGTGTAATTTTGGTATCTTTGCAGGAGGTTTGATAGAGTTGAATCATGGAGACCCACAGCCTCTGCAGTATGCTGCAAATGCAGCTTTCTTAGCGACACTCTACAGTGATTATCTGGATGCTGCTGATACTCCTGGATGGTACTGTGGACCTAATTTCTATTCAACCAAAGTCCTACGCGAGTTTGCGAGATCCCAGGTAATGCATCTTGGGCTTTTTCTCTGTATACAAGTGGTGATCATGGGAAATGTCCAAAAATAACACTTGTAATCAACAGTGGCATTTGTTGAGCTGTTTACATAAGTATTTGTGTAAAAACCAGAATTGGAGTTTACTCAGCTTAGCTTTGCTTTTGCAGATTGATTACATACTCGGTAAAAACCCTCGGAAAATGAGTTATCTGGTGGGTTTTGGCCCACGATACCCGAGACGCGTGCATCACAGAGGTGCTTCGATTCCTAAGAACAAAGTCAAATATAACTGCAAAGGAGGATGGAAATGGAGAGACAGCAAGAAACCAAACCCAAACACGATTGAAGGAGCCATGGTTGCTGGTCCTGACAAGCATGATGGGTTCCGCGATGTCCGTACTAACTACAACTACACTGAACCGACCCTTGCTGGAAATGCTGGTCTGGTCGCAGCTCTCGTGGCATTGTCGGGTGACGAAGACACCTCTGGTACTATAGACAAAAATACTATTTTCTCAGCTGTTCCTCCGTTGTTCCCGACTCCACCGCCGCCACCAGCACCATGGAGACCTTGAGAAAGCTTATGTGATTATGTCGCTGCTGCCAAAAAAGAAATGAATGAGGTAAGGAGTTGAGCAGGAGATTAGATGTGCTAAACACAAGTCAAACCATAATCAACTTACTAAGGATTTCATTTGGCTTTACTAGATACAAACCCTGGGTGGGTAGCTTACGATGAGCATA